TGTAATCCCAGCACTTAGGGAGGCCGAGGCGAATGGATTGCCCGAGTCCACAGGTTTGCCATCAACCCTGCAACTAGGCGAGACCTCGTTTCTACAACAAATCAAAAACTAGCTTGGCGCGGTAGCGCGTGCCTATAATTCCAGCTACTTGGAAGGCTGAGGCGGAGGGATCGCCGGAGCCCAGCAGGCGAGGCTGCGGTGGCCGGGAGTGGCCACTGCACTCCAGTGTGGGTGACAGAGTGAGACTCCAACTCAAAGAAAAAATAAAAATAAATAAAAATAAAAATAAATAAAAAATTAAAAACTCATTTAGTAACCATCTGATTGCTAAAGCAAAATTACTTTGTAGACTTTATACCTAAGACAGAAAGCAGCGGTGTTTTTACTCCAATATTACAATCTCTTATTGAAAAGAAAACTCTTAGAGGCATAAGTTCAAAGGCAACCCATTTAGAAAAACTGATATTTGACTTAGAATTTTCTTATGTGATTTATTCAAAAGTTTATAAAATTTGGAGTCAGAGCCCTGTTCCCTGTGTCTTGGCCCTGTACCTGACTAGTTGCTCAACCTTACTGTGCCTCAGTGTCCTCATCTGTATAAGGGGTATTATAGCAGAGGTTGGATATATTAAATAGGCCGATATATGAAGGAACACATACAAATGTTCACTGGCTCCACACCATTACTCTACACAAATTTATAGGTGGAAAAAGACCCAAGAGGAGCGTGTCAGAATTGCAGCACACACCTCACTTCCAGAAACATGATGTGAGCACCCATTATGTGCAAGGGGTGGGGCTAGGCTGGGCTGCATGGAATTCGTAGCTCAGCAGAGACACAGAAAATTATAGTGCGGTTTTGGTGAGTGTTAAAATAGACATGTAAACAAGGTGTGGTGGGAGGAGGAGGGGCCAGAGCAGGGCATTCTGGAAGTTAAGACTTGGCCTGCGTCAGCCCCCTCCAGAAGGGGAGGAGGCGTGGGTAGGGGCTGTGTTGAGATCAGAAGCTTGCCCACTGCAGCCAGCCAGCTGGGCTGAATCCCTGCTCTGCTGGTGTTGGTTGTGTGGCCGAGGGCCAGTTACCTTTTGCTGCCGTGGTTTCCTCGTTTGTCATATGAACGGGGGGAGGGTGCTGAGATAACACACGTGGAGCACTTAGCACGATGCCTGGTGTAGTGCAATCCTTCTGCAACTGCTTATTATGTGCAGTGCTAGTACTGGCTGCGTTTGAAAACTCTCTCAAATACTTTCACACTGTTGAGGATTTAGGGCTTCAGCTGTGGCCTTAGAATGAAGACAGAAGCCCAGCAGATCTAGGTCAACATATCAGCTTTATTAATTGATGAAAGCTGGCTGGAGGGCCTGGCCTAAGTGGGCTGCCTCATCCATTATTCCAGAGTTAAACACATGTACCCACGGGCACCCTGGACACCTGTGGCCTCTCTCTCAGGGCAGTCACACAGTGGAACTCTCCACCAGCTGAAGAGACCAGGCTGTGCCCTCTGGATCTCTCTGGCAGGCAGATTCCAGAGGGGCAAGGGAGAGCCTGCCGGCTCCTGCCAGAGTGCATGGTCCGCAGAAACCCTGGCCTCTCTGCTTGGGAGTGACCTGAAGGACAGCATCAAGGGAACTCAAGGACAGAGGAAGGAAGTTTTATCCCCAACGCAAACTCTCATATAAATTAAAACGTTTGTAGCTTCATCTTGATTTCTTGAAAGCCATTTAGGGTGGTGAGGGCAGGTGCATTTTTAGTTAACTTTTGGGCAGTTTGCTTCTTAGTCAAGTAGACCGAGATCACTGTTTACTTTGGTGCACCTTCTCGTACGTTCCTGGCATGGAAAGGAGTTGAGGGAAGGGATGTGGGGCATGTCAAGATCGTTGTGGTACACGTTAGGGCAGCGGAGACCCATCGGCTAAAGAAGGCTCCTCCTCCACCCGGTACAATGGCCTTAATTGACTTGACTTCCAAGCACCTGTGAGGGAAAGGCGCTCAACAGCACCAATTTGGAGGAGACTGAGGTTCCACGGGGTGCAGGGCTCGTCCGAGGTCTCATATCCAGTGAGTAAGTGGTGGAGCCAGGGTTGACGCCGAGCTCGTTCTTTTAACCACTGTACGGTTTCCCGCCCCCCCCAGCCTTGGCTTGGGAGATGTTTTCTTACGTCTTCTAATGAGGCCCAGAGACTCTGACAGCTTGGATTTTAGACCCAGTTGGGGCCTTGCAGGCCTCCCGTAGCCATGTGAGTTGGCCCCAGGCCTTCTGACCGAAAGCCACTGTTCTCTCCTCTGGCTTTCATCAGACTCAGGTTCCGGAAGAAAATGAACTTCTATGTGTCTGAAATGGCTCATTTCAGGATATGGGCCTGGTGAATCAGAGAAATACCCAGGTATTAACTTAGAGACTGTTCGGCAAGCCTTCCTTGACCTTCTCCCTCTCATACCAAGAACACCGAGGGTTGCATCACAATCAGCAGAGAATTATGTGAGCTGAGAAGCAGATGGTCGTCCGCCACCTCTCCAGACGTTGAGTTAGCTTCTCCTTCCGGTGGCAACGGCTTCTTGACAAGGAGTTGTATCTCCGTATATGAAGTTCACTTGCACTACTTTGGGTCTGCAGTGGACACTATTGCCGTAAAGACTTTATTGTGAACGCTATATTTTAGTTTTCTATTTTTACTATCAGTTTATAGAAAAAACTTCAAAACATGAATTGTCCTTACAGAATGGAAGGATGGAGGATGGGGTGGTGGTGGTGACTTCTTTAAGAAACCTGAAGGGAGTTCAGAGTTATTGTATGTACACTTGAGAGGCCAAAACAGGGTTTGGGGCTATCGTTTAAAGGAGTCAAGGCAGTAGAGCAGTGTTGTTAAGGGCGCAAATCCAGAGCCAGACTTCCAGGGTTCCAGATTACTTAACTGTGCCTTGGTTTTCTCATCAAAGAAATGGGGCCAATAATAGTTTTTATCTCACAAGGTGGTTCTTAGAATAAAATGAGTTAACAAGGTGCTTAGAAGGGTGCCTGAAACATACAAATCATGAGTATTTTTACGATGCAGCAGCTGCTGAAGGAAAACAAAAGCACAAAAATTAAAAGTTTGATCAGCTGAGATTGGAAAGAGGGAGGCAGGAGTTCACGAGTTTATTCTCTCATCCTTTAAAATGGGAGACCAATAGACACTTTAAAGTTGACAGATCAAGCAGTGGAGGCGTCACCATATTTATAGCGCTGGAGGCAATCCGCAGAAGAATCAAAAATAGGGCCCGTCAAGTGTGGTTATTGCTGGGGAATGGAGCTGGGGGACTTTCTATTTTGAGGTGTTTATTACCATAAGCATGTACTACGCTTGCTTATTTTTTGCTACGTTTCTTGAGGTGTAGTTAGACAATAAGCTTCACGTATTTAAGGGATACGATGTGACAAGTTTTGCCATATGTGCACACACGTGAAGCCATCACCATGATGAAGATCAACATGTCCACCCCCGCGCAAAAGCCTGATTTCAGTCCGTGCTTAGTAACTTATGTGTGGGCTTTAATTCCCTTTGAGTTCCAGCGTCAGTTAATTCAGAATACCTTTTTGACTTCAAAGAGTATTTTCTTTTTATACTGACACAGTGATGTTTTGAAGTTTGTATTTTTGTATTCATGTGATCTTCTTATGTCTCCTGAGTTTAACCATAAAGTTAATAGGAACCTCCAGTGATTTTGTTTTTCTGATTTTTTATTTTTTATTTTTATAGAACATCAGTGGTTAGAAGATAGGATTTCAGACTTTGGAATGGGGAAGAGAGACGATTAAAGTGTTCTCCAAACTTTCACATCTATTTGCTTTTCAAAAGTTCCATCCTTTCTGTGGGTTGCTTCCTCTGACCAGGGCTTTCCACATGTGTACACTGCATGTTCAATTAGGATTCCTGGGCTGCAGGCAAAGTGGAAATAATGTTGAAATCAGTGTCCCTACTGAATAAAGCTTGGCTTCTCCACCCCTCTGAGGCCAGACTCTATCTCTTCCCACCCGGAGCTCCCTACCTCTTCCCACCCGGAGCTCCTCCTTCACCACGCAGCTGGGGAGGGGAGCAGGCACCCTGCTCTCAGTGGGATGGCCACAACCAGGAGTTGCATTCTGAAACCCTGAGTATGAATTGGAAATATAATTTCAATAGAGGCCGGGTGCGGTGGCTCATGCCTGTAACCCCAGCACTCTGGGAGAGCCGAGGTGGGAGAATTGCTTGAGCCTAGGAGTTCCAGACCAGCCTGGGCAATGTAGTGAGATATCGTCTCTACAAAAAAATTTCTAAAAAATTAGCCAGGTTTGGTGGCGCGTGCCTGTAGTCCCAGCTACTTGGGAGGCTGAGGCAGAACGAGTGCTGGAGCCCAGGAGGTGGAGGCTGCAGTGAGCTGTGATCATGCCACTGCACGTCAGCTAGGGCAAAAGAGCGAGACCCCGACCCAAAAAGAAATTTTTTTTTTCAGTAGAAACCAGGTTAAGCTTTGTGGCTAACTCTGTTTTGTGATACCATTAATGGCTATCACTGAGCCGTGCTCTGGATCCAATGTGGAGGGTTCTGTGGTTTTTTTGTTTTGTTTTGTGGGCTGGTTTGGGCACATGACTGCCTTTTTATATCATTGTTTCTATGGGGAAAATGCACTTCGTATTCCAAAAAGAAACGCGCAAATGAACTTTGCAAACACAACCTGTTCACGATAGTTTGTAAATAGCACTTGGCAGAAGGGGTTTGTGTTTAAAATAATGTAGTTAGTCTTAGCCTAAGGGCGACAAGTTTCTCCAAATCATAGACTTCACTGAAAATTGTAGGACAAATGTGTTAGGATTGATTTGATACTGAATGAAACTTAGAGGGCAAATGTATTAGGATTGATCTTGTTGGTTTTATTTAGAGGGTTATGATGTTTCTTAGGGAATGGGCTGTTGAACTTAATGGCATCTTTCCCAGGTCAACTATAACATGCACGATGATGATGTTCTGTATTTTAATAACAGGTTTTCAGGAGGCCTGATATAAGGGTAAGGATATTTGGCTTTCGGCAGATAGGCCTCCTCCTCGTGTGTGTCTGTGCTTTATCGAATACTTAGTCTATTTAATGTTCTTTACCTTCTCACTAGTTTTTATGAATCACTCAGATCAATTATTTGCTCTGCTGTGTCATAGCTTTAAGTGTTCACTAGACATGCTTTATTTGTTACAATGTTTTTATGTGCAGTAAAAGCCAGTGTATGTGAGGGCAGGATGCTGAACTGTGCCCAGTGTGCAATACTGACTTTTGGTGTACTGTGTGAATTATGATCAAATGGAAGCTCACGGCAGGGTTTATAAGGCGAGGCCTCCTGAGGCCCCTGTTAACCTTGTTTATCAAGTCGTTCATGCTAAAGAATTTAGCAAACAACAAGGAAAAAAAAGCGAGCCGGGCTCGGTGGCTCAGCCTGTAATCCCGTGCCTTGGGAGGCTGAGGTGAGTGGATTGCCTGAGCCCGCGGATTTGAGACCCGCTTGGGCAACTTGGTGAGACCTCATCTCTACAATAAATAAAAAAAAAAAAGAAAAATTAGCCGGGTGTGGTAGCGCGTGCCTGTAGTTCCAGCTACTTGGAAGGCTGAGGCGGAAGGATTGCCGGAGCCCAGCAGGTCGAGGCTGCAGTGGCCGGAGCAGCCACTGCACTCCAGTCTGGGCGACGGAGTGAGACTCCAACTCAAAGAAAACAAACAAACAAAAAAAAAAAAGAAAAGAAAAGAAAAAAAGCAATCAGTTGTCTGTCCTTTCTAAGTAAAGTTTCAAGTCATGTTTGTGTTTGCATGTTGAATCCAAAAAGCAGAAATGCTAATTTTGAAGATAAATTTCACTAAATCAATCCGTTAGTATTTTTTTAAATATAGATATAGTGGATTGTAGCTTTTATTTTCCTCATGCTTTTCCTTCCCTTTATTTCAGAACATTCATAAAGCAAGACAAAGATTGGTAACGTGCATGCATCTAAACCTTAGTACCAGACTTTGAGCATTAACCTATTTCCATGAAATGAAAACAATGTGGATTTTGACAGTGTAATTTAATGACTTCAGTTTAAGATTGTTGCTCTTATTGAAGCTAATGCAGTAGTACAAAAATAAGCAGGTTAAGTCCAATTCTTGTTATTCTAGTCGGTTTGCCTTTGTTTCATCTTGTTTTCACCATTTTTTCTTTTGCTGGTGGGAAACAATTTCTTCCATTGATTCACATTGTTAAATATTAGCATTTGGCATTACACTTGCATGGACTTTGAACTGTTGTTCGAGTTAATTCACTTATTTTTCTGTCTTTAAAAACTTAAAGAATGATTTGGTTGTCTTTGTATTTAAATGGAAATTCAAAAAGACTGGCTGCCTTGAAAAATCACACGCCTCAAAGGGTAGCTGTACCAACTGTGCACTAAATGGAATCTGATGATGAAGTATAAATAGCTGTTAAGTCATTATTCTACTTTATTGACAAAAATGAAAGGTGGGAAGTAGTCAACTCTTTGAAAACTCTGCTACTTCTTCACTAGTTGCCTTTCTAAGAAGTAGAGCGTTGGAACCAAAGTTTCATGGAACAGAAATGTATGTATGCTAAATGTTAGGATTTTGGGCCTCAGACTTGATACAACTCTTAAAAGGGGTTATAGTCTCGTCATTTCAGCATTCATATTCTTTATGCCACTTGTTGAATTAAAAGTCCAACCTTTAAAGCTTCAAAAAGTAATGGAGCCTATAAGAAATTAAATGAAGAATAATATATTTTTAAAGGGATTGGAAAAAGTTTAAATACCTTTAGATAAATATGTGTGACCTTTTAGCTGTTTCTTTGAAGCATGGTAATAGTGTAATTAGAAATATTTAATAGGATATTGACTCAAAAATCACAGTATTTAATTAGCAATAAACAGATGCGTGTGTATATATACAGACACATATATACGTATACATATATGTGTCTGCATATATATATATCTGAAATCTCCAGCATGTGATATGTGCATGTGTGCAGTGGAATTGATTCCTGGGCAACATAACTGTTCTTTAGAGTGTATGAATACTTACTGTGTTGAAAATACATGTTTGTGAACTGCCTCTGAATTTCAGCTTGACTTTGCCCTTTACCTGGTTTCCATGGTTTGCTTGATTTTTCTATGAGCACATGATGTGCCTGCTGTTTTGTTTCTTTGCTATATGCTACAGTATTGCTTGATTTTTAAAAGATAGTCTATTATTTGAAATCCATGATGTTTGTTTGCTTTTCATTTTTCTTTCCCAACACAAACCCAGAATAGACACTCCATTTTAGGTCGAGGATGATATATATGGCCTACTCGATATTTCCTTAACTCCAAGGGGGAAGGTGTTGTGATTTGCAAAGCTGTGAAAGGTGTGTCGACTTTTACATGCTGACTGTCTCTTTAAACAAGAAATTCTGTCCTTTCACCTGTCTGTTTGCACGTGTTTCTCTTTCTCTTCTTTGCCTTTTCTTGTCCACGCACCTGGTGCTGTGCAGGAGATTCAGGAAGAACACAATGGCTACCCTTCTGAAGCTGACGCTGATCAGGTGGCAAGTTCTGCGTGTTCATCTGTTTGTAGCTCCAGCTCGTGTATTTAGAAGCCATCTCATACTAGATTTCTAGATGATAAGCAAAGCCTTCCAGATGCTTTTACCACCACAGTCGTGCCCTCCTGTCCCTATTTGGTAGATGCCATGATGACATTATTTGCACAAATTGGTTTATCCAACATTTTGCAGCTAGAGATGTGTTCACCTGTGCTTCTTGGTCCCCGTTTGGGTTATGGTGAAGTTGCTGACCCTCCATCCCAGTAGGATCCTGCAGTGCCTTTGCAGAGATGTAGATGGTCAGGTACAAATGCTGAGGGTGCTTCTTGAGGGTGTGGGCTTTGCTCTGTTCAAATATGCATGGTCTGTGCACAGCACAGTGCCTGATACCTTGTAGGTATTTGTGAAATAAGTGCATATATTTTATGTTTCTTAATCAGAAGACAGAATAATTCATAGCATATTCTTGAGCACTTTTTGCTCTGTACTGTGAGAGCTGCTCTGCAGCACTTCTCTCCAGTGCCTGTGGGAAGCGGGCAGAAGAGCAGGCCCAGGGAAGCGTGGCGAGTCCCAGGTGCTCAGTGGCACCTTTGCCCACCGCCACCCAGAACCACTCTCCTTTGGTGACCCCAGAAGCACCTTGAAGAGTCCAGCCTGAAAACCGCTGCTCTGGGCATGCAGCAGTTATATAAACTATCTACCTGGCAGCTTAGATGAGGAGAGAAGCAGTGGAGTGGCCAAGGCTTTCTGGGTAGACTGGAGCTCTCGGGACAAATTCTGGAAGCTGGCAGATCTCAGATGTTCAGAGCCACTCACTGCAACAAGGTCGGGATAAGGTCATGAGAGCGAATTCCTCAGCTGGGCACACTTTGAGCCAAGGCACCAAGAGTAGTGGGTGTGTCTACGAGATCAAATTTAGTTCACGAATATATCCCATCCTTTGATTGTGCTGAGCATGGGTTGGATAAATCAAGGGTCAAATCATGTCCTGTGCAACCTGATAGTGGCAGTAAAAGCTTAATACAGCACCAGTGTGAGTCCCATCTCCTAACACCAGCTTCATAAGGAAATCTACTGTACTCACCAGAACAAACCAGCAAGGCTTCACAAACTATTCTCCTCTTGAGTTCCTGTGCTAAAGCTAAATGTGTCTCTTTTACAATATGAACCTCCTGTGGGGAAATCTGAAACAGTCAGCTCATTTCTTTTTCATTGTTTAAAAAGCATGTCCCAGATTGAATCCACTGGTGAGAGACTTACTGTGTATCACCAGTGCACTCGAGTCTTACAGAAATGCACAGGCATTTCAAACCAAACTTGACATGACCATGGGAAGAGAAACGCTTGGTTTTCAGCTTCTGTCTTGAGAGCCTTGTGCATTTAAATGGTCCCAATCACTTCTGTCTCCCAGCTGCAACATTTTGTTAGCTCATCCTGAGTTGAGGACTTGAAAATGTTTGATGTGGCTTGTGCTACAATTGAAAGGGAGTCATGGCTTCTTCAACTTCCTCCAGATTCCGTTGATTAAAGCACCTTGCTTTAGTAAATATATTTCAAAAGAATCTGTCTTCATTTATTTTAAAATATAAGTTAAGGAACTTAGGTCTATATAACATGACAATATTGAACCATTAGAATAGGCTTGAATGATGTCATATTTCACTTTGTAACTATGTTATAAAATTGGTCACTTGTTCAGACAATAAATTAAAGCAGATCTTCAAATTAAGGCTTCTAATAAGATTGATCATTTAGTGTTTCTAAAACTGGACATTTAAATGTATACATGTTAGTTTATGCTTTATAGTATAAAGGATATATTTCCAAATCAAGTGTGAGTATACAAATAAATTCATAAATGGCCCTCCACGTCCTCCTTAATATGTTAGATCCCAAACATTTTTGACTGAAAAAGTTTTAAAAACCAATTTGGGCTAGGCAGTGTGGCTCATGCCTGTAATCTCAGCACTTTGGGAGGCTGAAGAGGAGAATCACTTGAGCCCAGGAGTTTGAGACCAGCCTAGGCACCATCTCTACAAGAAATTAAAATAATAATAATAATAAGCCAGGCATAGTGGCATGAGCCTGTAGTCCCAGCTACTTGGGAAGCTGAAGTGGGAGGGTTGTCTGAGCCCAGAAGTCAAGGCTGTTTTGAGCCATGACCATGCCGCTGCACCAACCTGGATACAGAGTGAGAACTTGACTCAAAACAACAACAACAAAAATCCCAATCTGGACTAAACATTTAAATCAAAGAGACTGTTTGGCAGTAATGCCAATTCCTAATCTGTATTATTTTAACTTACATCTTTGAATGATGAGGATAGACCATGTCATTTGGTTCCCTTATAGTAGAACAGACATATCCCTGACCAACATTTAGCATTGAATTGGCTATTTATATTTGAACTTTTAAAAATTTTATACAATTGGATGAAACTACTATGTATAATGTTTCTAAATTGACCTCTAAGTCCCTGTAATATGGAAATATTCTTATAACTATGAAAAATAATGACAACTTATTTTGAATTTTCAGTCATTTAGGCTAGAATTATAAGATATCTATTTTTAAATATCTTGCTTTACAAAATTCTGCGGAAAACTTAGTGTTGTCCAGCCTGTTTTCCGCTGAACACTGGTGGCGTCTGATGTTAACAGGTGTTCCTTGGAAAAAGCTGTCCCTGAGCAAATAGGTATGAGACGTGCATTATACTCCAGCGCCCTCTGGCTGATTCGGTGTACGTTAACATGCTAAATACTTGTCTCACTAAAAAATCAGCTTAACTTGTTTTGTTTAACCCAGCATTTTCTAAACTTTAAAAAAAAAAAGACTTATTCAGATCTCTTGGGAATGTAATGCTCTATGAAACACAGCTTGGAAATTGCTGGAGTTTTGACCACCTTATTCTTATCCATGACACAATTATGTCAGGTGTGCCATGGAGAGTTTCCCTGGCAGCACCACAAAGGATGGCAGTACCTTGGAACAGGCCCCAAGTTTGGGCTCTGGTCCCTAGCTTTGTAGTTCAAAAGTACCATTTTCTCCCCTCCCCTGAGTTATCCAGCACTATCCAACCATGCTCACAAGAGACCGGCTACTGGGCCACAGTGCCAGTTTGGCCATTAGAAAATGTGGACAAGTATCTTTCCAGCCATCCAAAGCATCATTTTCCTAGAATGCTGCAGCCAGGGAACCTTGTAAGTCATTAGTGATTTTCCTGGAGCGTGAGAAATCAGTGCAGAGTGAACTGGCTTGGGGAGACACCTGATAGAAACTCTCCATGGCAGTGATCGGAATACGTTTTCCTGCCAGATAAGAGCATGCCTGGCTTGGGAAAACACTGACAATCTCACTCTTCATGTTCCCTGTCAGGCACTTTGTGCACACACGCACATGTGTGTACACATGCACATAAACACACACATGCATGCACACACAGAGGTAGCTGGGCTGCGGTGCCAGAGCTGAGGGATTTCTTTAGTTGTGTACTGTCCTGAGACTATTCCTTGGTTATTTTAATTAGAATTCAGGCTTTCCCAAACTATCTCATAGGCTGAGTTCTTTCTACAGCTAGCTAAGCACCTCCATCTCATGTTGATTTTATTCTTAGGAATTTCATGCTCAGAAGGTAACCTTTTTCTGACCTTATTTCCAAATTCTAGAGGCACCTTATACTAGCTATCTGTGTAGTGATTACAGTATCTGTCATGTCAAGCCATTTCTGTATTAATGCTTTCTAACTGTGAAATTTAAATATGTTGTCACAATTTGCTAGAATATGCAGCATGATGTCCTGTGATGCTGAGCTTGGAAACTGTCTTTTGTGGGGGACGGGGGCTGACGTTTTGCACGCTTCTGTAGCCTTCTAGCGACAGCACAGAACTCCAAAATTTTCAGGTATGTGAATGGCAAATGAGAGTTACCCCTGTTTCTTTTATTACTAGGCTCTAAGGGATGGAAATAAGTTGGCCCAGATGGAGGAAGCACCACTTTTTCCAGGAGAATCCATTAAGGTCATTGGTAAGTTTAGCATGTGCATTTTGCTTATAGAGCGCCATACAATGAAACGGCACTTGATTTGCGAGGATAGGTGATCTACGTGCTGGAGATCAGCCAGACCAACTTAATTAGGGGACAAATGGACTAGATCTGTTCATTCTTATTAGTGTCATCATGACCCAGGAGACAGAAGACTATAGGATTCCATTAAGCTTCAATTGCATATTTGATGGCATTCTCAGCAGAAGAGGGGCTCGACTTTTCCTGGTGAACTGAAAGCTGGTTAGACACTTGATGTAGTATCAGTTCACTGCTTCGTTGGAATCCTTTAGAATGAGAAACATGTATCGATAGGAAATCAGTGTCATCTTTTAATAACAGTTTTGAAAATTTGGCAGAGCAATTTTAGTAGCTTATAAGATTTAGAAAAGTATCATTTTAGTGCAAGAAAAGGGTGTGTGTTGCCATCCTGGCTTGCAGCGGTGATGACATGAGGGCTATCATATCCCTCTGTGGGATATTGCCAGACCTTTCAGGAGGGTGTCAACTGTGCCACTGGTGGATGGAGGGGCAGCCGGGTGTGACCTTTTCTTCTCATCACTTGGTTAGACAGTCTGGTGTTCCAGGCTGCATGTTTCCTTCTTCCTTCGTGGCTCCCTCCCACAGATGTGTGCTTGGCCACAGAGTATGGTCATCTTGTGTGAAGAACATCTGAGTAGCTGGGCTCTCCTATCAGAGCCTCCAAACAACTACTGCTGCTGAGTCTCCCAGTCTGTGGCCCTGGCCCATGCTTATCTCACCCTTGGTTTTGAAATTCTTTCTTTCCTTGGGTTCTGAGACTGTGTTCTCTCCTGGTGAAATTCTTTCTTTCCTTGGGTTCTGAGACTTTGTTCTCTCCTCTGGCCTCCTTACTGGGCCTTCTCTGGGTGTTCTTCTGGCTCTGCCCCCATGCTGCTTTCTGAATGATCTGTTAAAAATGCATGCCCCTCCTTCTTCTCCAGACAATAAGCAATACAGATTTAAAGTATATGATGTGAAGAGGTGTTTTCACTTTATTTTTATCTTTATTAGTGGACCAGAGTCAACTCAGAAGAGACTAGAGCTGATCTGGGTGAGATTGTTCACTCTGTACATCAGACACACACTTCGAATCAGCAGGGGGTGTTATAAAAGCTTAAGTGCAAGCTCACAGTTGTCTTAGTAAGATGAGAAGGCTTCGGAGAATTCAGCTGTGGTCTGGTGCTCTTTCTCCCCCGTTTTCCTCTTTCACTCTGGAAACAGAGCCCAGAGAGAGGGATGCTCCTGCCTGGCCCCACTCCGGTTAGTTAGATGTTCAGGGTGTCTGCATGCTTATGCTCTTCCTGTGGCTTGCAAATGGTACATAAAGTAAGCCCTACTTTTAAATAAAATATATTCCTGGAGGCAAGTATTAAAATAGTTCATTGTAAATTAAGTACTCCCTGTGGAGTACTATTTCAGTTTGTCATTGTCAGAATGTGAAAAGTTTTGACGCAGCATTCCCCTGGGAGACCATCATCACAGTCAAGGTAATGGACATATCTGTCACCTCCCAGAAGTTTCCATTTCGTTATGCCACTTCATAATTCCTACTTCCCCTGCCTTCTCCCCCATCCTCAAGCACTAGAGACTAATTTATATTTTCTAGTGTTTCATGGAAATGTAATTATAGAGTATGTTCTTTTTTCATTTACCTTCTTGCAATCAAATTATTATTTGGATAATCATCCATATTGTGGCATGGGTGAATAGTCGTTCCTTTTTATTACTGAGTAGAATTTCCTTGTATGGATACATGAAAGTTTGCCTATCCACCCATCTGTTGTTGGATATTTAGGTTGTTTCTACTGTTGGGCGATTACAGATAAATCTGCAGTGAATGTTAATGGACAGGTCTGTATGGACACATATTTCCTTTTGTCTTGGGCAAACACCTAAGGGATGGAGTGGCTAGATCATAATATAGTCGGTGTACAGTTTTTCTTTCTAAGAAGCTGCTAAAGTGTGTTTTAAAGTGATTGTGTGAATATACATTCCCACCAGTGGTGTATAAGCATTCCAGTTCTTGCTTTCCAATCTGAGTGCCTTTTATTTCTTTTTCTTGCTTTATTTCTCTTTCTTGAACCTCCAGTATAGTGTTTAAGATGTGAGAGTGAGCCGGGCTCGGTGGCTCAGCCTGTAATCCCGTGCCTTTGGGAGGCTGAGGT